TTCTGGACCGTCCGTTCCGGGCTTCAGTTTTTCCAAAATTAAACCGAATTAGGGTTAAATCACCTTATAAGAAGGAGATTAAAAACCCTAGCTCTATGGAGACTTTGACAGCCGACTTTTGGCAAAAACAAGAGAGTTTTTGGAGATCCAAAAACGAGTTCTAAGTCTCGATATTCCTCGGTGCACATATCGAATAGAGTTTCGAGTCCTAGCAGACAAGTTCCAACCGTTGGAATCCATCTCGTGGTGTGGATACGTGTAGAGGGCGAGGTAATCTTCCTCCCTTTCATGATCAGACGGATTCTTCAATTGAGACAGGCCTCGGATCGATTGAGGTAAGCGTTCTAACGTTTCTACGATTCATAGCAGCATGGTTCTAGGGTTCTATAAAATTATTGTTTTACATCCGCTGCGCAAACTCTAGAATCGATCTCTTAGGAATAGGATTCGCTCTAGAGATCCCAGGAAACCCAACAAGTATAACTGGTCTGACCATTCTAAATTGGTCACACCGTCGGACTTATTTGGTCAGACTCATCAATCCACATAAATATAACTGGTCTGACCATTCTAAATTGGTCCAACTAGTTAGACTTATATGGAGTCATGTGTGACGGAAAAAAGAAAATAAAATTTAAGTGTGAACATACCTTGCTCGGGTGGTGAGAAAATCTGGAAAGCACGAGGTTTGAATAGGGAGTCAATATTCCTGTTGTACGATCTCCCCACTGAAGCATCACGTGGTGAAGAACTCTCATTTTTGTCAGACCAGTTCAATACTTCCACACTAACGCCTGCCCTCTTCAAAATTCTTTCCACATTTGCAATTATTCTTTTTTCAACATTTTCGGCAATCTTTTCTTCAGAGGCTTTTATTGCCTCCTCCAACATCCTTTCAAAACCAATCGGTATTCATTCTTGCCTTTCTTCTTCCTCTTTTCTAACTTCTTCTTCTCTTCCTCTTCTTCTCCTCCTTCTTTTTCTTCCTCTTCTCTTTCTTCTTAAGTCTTTCCCTTGCCTTTTTTCTTCCTCTCTGCTCTATTCCCAGAGCCCCTGACACTGACATCGAGCGCAAGAATTTTCTGGAAACAAATACTTGTCGGATCTTCGTTCAACCGTTGCATCCAACTCTGCACCACTGGATGACTACTTGGCTCAGCATACAAATTCAAAAGAATATGTTCTTCATTGTTGTCTGTTTGAAGAACACTTCGAAATCCCTGAAAAAATGGTTCGTGTGAGTACATTATGATAGGTATGACCAATTACAAATTGGTCATACTAATCACAAACTGGTCTAACTAATTCAATTGGTCAGACCAATTCAATTAGTCAGACCAATCCAACTGGTGACACTACAAAAGAAATGACCAAATTAATACGTACCTTTGAGGTATCGCCAATCTGTTTATACACCTTTTCTCTCAAAATCTTTTTTCATCGATTCTAGATGAAATCGACATTTATAAATGAATTCAACTTAGTTTCATCTATAGGATTGAAATTGGGGATGATTATGAGATAACCATATGCATTTTAGTTATTATTTTTAGGGTTTGTTTAACCTATTTAAGATTTAGAACATTGATATTTTTTTGAGGTTTTTGTTTTTGACATTATTTTGGGTTTTTTAAGTACTATTTTCAGGTTTTGAGCGTTAGTATGTATATCGTTCGACTTATCAAGTACATTTACCATTCGTGTTTGTGTTATCTTCTACCCATTTCAAGGTTTCCTAATTAGGTTTGTATTGGATTTAGGGAGTTATCAATATATATTTAATCCCGAAATATGTTCACAAATTCATTTTGGTCGACATCCGAGGATATATAGATCTAGGGGTTTCGATCTTCTCTTTTCTCTTGCACGTTGGAGGAAAGGTTTCTCTCCAATTCTAACAAATCTGCTACCCTCCATGGACTATGATAGAGACGGGTACCACTTACGACTTTTAAACGATTCAATCTCTACAAAAAGGTTTTCTATTTGTTAAAATGGTTTTAATACACAATATGTTGGTGAATTTTGAAAAAGTTTTAAAATTCAAAGTGTTCCCGATGTTCTATGATTCGACCTAAACCCAACAGGTTAGTGACATATCCTAGTGAAATTGTTGATTTCTTGATTTATAGTGTTTTCGCTTCCATCTCATTTTCTTTTTTGGTTTTGCTTTCTTGTTTTCTTCTCCGTCGAGCCACGGATTGACGTCGTGGTCATCGAAAGTGCCTCGAGTTGTGATCCTAGTGAACTTGTTGGTGCTGCCTGATCGAGATGCAGGTTCAATTGAGCCAAACTCATAAAAAAAATCTCGTTGTCTCTTTCGTTTTTTTGTTTTGGTTCTTACAAGGTCGAACCAGATTTGACTCGGAGTGAGACCGGAACGGAAACGAGTGTGAAAACCATACAATAATAATAGTTGGTTTTGTTAATATTTGATGCATGGACTAGGCTTATTGTTTTTTTTTATGTGGGAATGTATTATCTGAGGTTATATATTCGCAATTTAGCATAATGTGTTGATAGTGCTATGCAATGAATATATTCAGAAAAACTCGTAGATCTTTTATACCTCTGCTCATGGATAACCATTATCACCATCATAGTTATTTGCATCCGTAACTATCTCATGAAAAAAAAATTCGGTTAGTGTTAGGTCATAAAGTTTATAGAGATGAGAAAATTGGTGAGAGGAATTTTGCGTTCTTTAGTGTTATCAAAATAGATCCGATTCGCGAGTCGGTCTATATATTTTCGAGGTGAGTTCAGAAAATTGGATTAAAACAAAACGGATCGAACGAACCAACTCACCAAACGAGCTCTCGGCTCTTGGCTAGCAAGCTCACAAGTTGGTCTGTAAGCCAATTTTTTATAGACTTTTTAGTATATTTTTTATATTTAAATTCTGTTTCTAAGATTTATTTAACTTGTTTTGTTTAAATTTTAACTTTCTATTAATGCTTTTGCAATATTTATAGTATTCTAATTTTTTTTAATTGGCAATTTGGTCTGCGAACTGTTTTGTTTGATTTGTGATCTAAAATGAGTCGGATTATACGAATTAATTTTTGACAGCAAAAACGAATCGAAAAGGATTGAGCTAAAAAAATATGAGATTGGAATATCCGAAACCGTCCAAATTTGCACCCCGTTTTACACGGGTTCTTCACTCAAATGACCCACTTGGATCGCATCTATTTCACCTGTACACCACCAAAAACATAACATATTTTTTTCTCCGTAAAAAGACGAAATTACCCTTAATGAATCACGATATTTATCCGTTCGAAAACAACTTCGTTATTACGACTTCGTAATTAATTCTAAATATAGTTACAAAAAGGTGCAAAAAAAATCATCCGTCTTATTTTAGTTGTATATCAGTTATATGTTAGTCGCAAAAAGGTCGCAAAAAATAAAACGAGAAGGGTATTTTGGACTTTTTCAACCGAAAAGTGGGTTAAAATTGAAAAAAAAAATTTTTTTTTTTTGGTGGTGTACCCTGAAATTGCTGTGACCCATGGGTTATTTGGGTAATATTCCCGTTTTACACCCCTAGTTATCTTTCCACTCTTAAGTGGTCACGTGGCAGTGGTCTCATCAATCGGCAAGATGTTTGCCACGTGGGAGTGTTTGCAGGTGTCAGTTAATGAGTGGCTAACATCGTCCACGTGGCAAATCTCGTGACGTGGGTTCGAGGCATTCCTCGTCGTTCGTCACGGCATCGGTCCTCTCACGCAATTCGCACGGACGGACGATGTACGATACGTCTAGCCATGAGAGTGAGGGAATTGCGATGAACTTCTCCTCTTCTTCCCCACTAGACTTTTCGTAAATCGAGGACTACTTTTTTGTGTGAATTCTATCTGTTTGATTTTCGTGTGTTGCTCGTCTCTCTTCATCTGCTGTGCTGATGCGTTCGCCAATGGCGGTTAGATCCTCCTCAAGGAAGAAAATCTCATTCGAGATTCTCAGCCGAAGCAGTTGCTTCGAGGATGATGCGTCCATGTCAATCCTCCGATCCAGCTCCGATCCGATTTTCGGGAACGGAGTCGCCGAGTCGCGGAGGGAGAACGGGAAACGAAGGAGGCATAAAGGATCGAAGAAGAAGAAGGGCAAGGTCACCAACGTTGATGCGATTCCTGATAACGGCGATTATCGTCATGTTGTCGCAAACAGCACGGTTGGAGATTCGAATTGCGTGTCCACTGGTTTCGGAAATTTCGAGGTCAGCGGTGAACGGACGTTGTTTGAGGACAGAATGAGTTATTTCGGCGGCGGCCGTGGAAGTGGAGGGAGCGTGACGACTCTGTTGGATGAGGAGACTGTGTATCAGAATGGGTTCAATTTCGGCGAGCTGAGACACAGGAACGTCACCAGCAGTGCCTGCGGCAGCAACGATGAGCGGATGTCTGAGTCGAAAACTTCCGACAAGAAGATTCGACGGGAGGAGAGTGGTGGGGAGCTTAGATCCTCCGAGGATCCGCGGTTTCAGGAGGAGCAGCCTCAGCCCACTCCGCCGCCGATAAGTGAACCCAACGGGAATGTGATGACGAGGCTAGAAACGGCGGGATCTTTGGACTGGAGGCAGCTCATGGCGGATGATCCTGATTGTGAGTTCCCGACTTCAAACCTTTTGGAATTTCAGAGATTGCTAGTGGGATTATAGTGGAAGTTTCTGAATGAATTGCCTGCTAATCTGTTTGATGATCAGTTCAGTCCAATAATGGATGCGGTTCTTGTTGGCAGATATCTCTGCCGAGAAGAAGTCACCTATGAAATACTTTATGGAGGAAATTTCCGGCGGAAATTCTTTACGAAGCACAACTTCTCCCGGAAATGAGAAAGAACGAGAAAGAGTATATGATGCAATATTCCGCTTACCGTGGAGATGTGAAGTGGTAAACTTGGCTCTTCCTTTTGATCTTCGACTGCATACTCTTCGTTAGCTAGGCATTTTGACTGTCTTAATTTAGCATGCTGTTTAGATATTTGGCTTCAAAACTTGTAAGTTTGTGCTCCTTGGAGATGATCATCCTCAGTATTGTGGATTCCGGATTTATCTGAGGTGTGAGAGTTCGCAAGGATTAGGATGCTACTTAAGTTCAATGTATTATTATATAACTTTTGTAATTTAACATCGGAGGTTTTCACCTGGTAAACTATTTTCTATGCAGCTTATAACTATTGGTTTTTTTGTCTGCTTCAATTCGTTTCTGTCATTGTTGACAGTCATGCCAATAAGAGTCTTGATGATGGTCTGGAGGCTTTCCAAGAACAGGTTAGTCCTCTTCCTTAAATCCTGGAATGAAAGACATGTTTGCAAGCCTACTGTTGCAACATCAGTGTGTATTCTGTTCCTTTTGGCAAATGTATCATGTCTTGATTATACTGTTTGCAATTTTTGCAATGGGGTGCAATAGGACCTCCCATCCCCCTGCGGCTTTTATATCGAAAATAACTTAGTGACCCTCGTGGCAGGCAGTTCAAGAGGCCCTCCTCATCGGAGCTGTCTGATTTTGGCTGTTTTGTAGTTTTGGCTTCTGGGGTCACTCTCCTGGCAAGAATAGGTAAAATACGAAGCTTTTGATTTGTTCGTGCTCAATAAAATATTTTGTATGCAGTCTATGAAAATGTTGGTCTGGTACAATGGGTGGACAAGGAATTTGTCATAATTAGATATTCACGCTCAGCCCTGCTGCTGAATGAATGGTTTTTTTATCTTTTCTATGATAATGAGAATGAGAATGTGGAATCTCAAAACTGTTTGCTTATGCATTTGTCGCTTTTCTTGTCTGTGTTTTGTTTCATCAGATATCAGCCTAATATATCACATGATTCGTGGTCAAAGTACCTTCAAACTCTATGTGGTCTACAATGTCTTAGAGGTAACAGTTTGATATTTTTTATGTTCTGATTCTGAATATTCATATGCATTTCATTTGAATCGATTGGCTGTGTGATATTCGTGCTCTCACGGCATATCTGCGAATCAAATTTAACTTTTCCCCCATCAGTCTGGCAATAACTTGAGTATGTGTTTCAGATTTTTGATAAACTCTGTCAAAGTCTTTGCGGAGATGTACTTCAGGCCCTATTCAGTTCTGCAGAGGGATTGGCTAGCTCATCTCCTGAAAAGTTGAGATTTTGGACATGGAGATTCATTTCTGACCAAGCTCTAACTACGGCTGCCTCAAATATCCTCCCTCTGCGTTGAATAGTTTTCATTTTACGTAAATAAAAAAGGTCATCCTTTTGTTTTCTTGACTATAGCTTCACTTCTTCATTCTTTCATCCTGTTAGCTCAGGCAATCACATTGTCAACTTGTATTGTTGCCCACAACAATGCCTTGTTGGCCCTTCTGGTGTCCAATAACTTTGCCGAGATCAAGAGCAATGTCTTCAAGCGCTTCAGTAGGGACAACATTCATTGCCTAGTATATGCTGGTAAGCTTGTTATGGTAACCTTCCTAATGAAAAATTTAGGCCTTCTGTTCTATTCTTTCTGAGTTTGTCTAGTATAGATTTTACCAAGTCAGTATGAAATGGGTCACAGATCTAAGCTAAACCTTTGTATTACTTGTTTAGAAAGACCTAAAGAAATGCTGCATTGCCATTTCCAAATTTTTTCATTGATGTTTGATGGATCATGATTTGGTCTCTGTAATATTGCTCAATCAGATTCAATAGAGAGATTCCACATCTCGGCATT